CACCGGTGGAGGAGGAGCACCGGAGGAACTCACGGAGCTCGCGTGCACGGATGAAGGAACTTGCCGTTGTGCGCCGAAGGGAGGTGAGGCGACACGGTGCGATGGCTGGCCAGAGCTTGGCTCTAGAAAAATGCCCAACTCCTGCATTTCCAGACAGCCCTAGGTGGCTTATTGTTGGGCCTGGCTAGGAGGCTTGTTCAACCAACCAAACAGGCTCAAGTTGGCTCTAGGAAGCCTCGTTAATGGAACAATATCATGACAAAAAAAATTCTTTTATTTTGGCTGGAACACGAAGATTAAATAATTGTTTTTTCCGGTCTGAGTTCTAGGAGGGATCATTTCCATCTGAAACAAACCTATCTCTATATGTGTCTAATTCTCTGGCATGTGAATATATATTTATGTCCCGCCATAATGAAAGTTACATTTTTCAAAATCCCATATATATTCATCTACCCCCATCTTGGTAGTGTGTTGGTCAAAATCCCATATATATTCATCTACCCGCCATATTTACTCATGTTCATTGTTCAATTATTATCTTCAACCTATGTCGGGGTAGCGTCCGGTCACTCGCGGACGGACGCGTCCGATCGCGTAAAAACCTTTGGTGCATTTCTAGAGTCGACCGGACTCAGCGTGGTGACGCGTCCGGTCATCTTCTCGGTGCGTCAGGTGACAGTGTTGGGTGCACGGGCGAGTAGGCGAGCGGACGCAGTCGCGGTGCGTTCGATCTCGGCGCGCTACGTCCGGTCATCACTTAAGCATTGGCGCAGGGAGAGTCAACCATTGAGATTAGGCGATCGAGGTTGAACACGGGGGACACGTGGACGACTGGCAGCGACCGGTTGCTAGGGTGGGTACGTCTGGTCAGCGCGACCCGCGCGTCCGGTCACCCCGATTTATGTGCTGACAGGGAGCCAACGGCTCTATTTTGATGGGGCTTCTATATAAGCTCCATGGCTGGCTCTTGCTCACTCTTTTGGTCATTTGTATTGAGATTACATCTTAGTGAGCATAGCCAACACTCTCTAACTCACCTTGCTTGATAGGATCATCATCTAGTGAGATTTGAGAGCATGCAAGTGCATTGCTTTGAGTGATTACATCTAGAGGCACCTAGTGATTGTGTTTCGCTATAGATTTCGCTTGTTACTCTTGGTGGTTGCGTCCACCTAGACGGCTTGGTGCAGCGGGGATGGTCGAGCGGAGGAAAGTGATTGTCTCCGACTCCGATCATGGTGATTGTGAGGGGTTCTTGACCTTTTCCCGACGGAGAGTCAAAAGGTACTCTAGTGGATTGCACGTGGCTTGTGGATCCTCTTATTGTGTTGGTTGTGCGGCACCCGATTGCGGGTTAGGCGTGTGATGCCTATAAGCGCGTGAACCTCCAAGTGAGTGAATCGTCATAACGGAGACTAGCTTGCCGGTAAACAAGTAAACCTCGGAGAAAAATCATTGTGTCATCATTGTCTCCGGAATTTCTTGTGATTGATTGATCATTTCTTGCCACGGCGGTATAACTCACTACCTCTCTTGTATTTACATTACTAATGTAGCTAAGCTCTTTAGTGTAACTAGTTTTGAGAGCTAGCTTGTGTTTTGGTAGTGGTTAGTGAGGCTGTTTAGTTAGTCTTTGAGAGCTCACTAACTCAGTAATAGTGACCTAGCCTTGTGTGTGACATAAAGACTATAGCAACTAGAATTATGATTAGGTGACTTGCATTTTTAGTACGCTAGCGCAACATCCGCATCGCCGTTTAATTGACTAACCTATTGGATTAAGTGTTGTTATAGAATTTTTATAGGCTATTCACCCCCTCTAACCATTAGGACCTTTCAAATGTCCAGAATTTAGCAGCCTGGGAATGGGAACATGACCCACACTCCCGTTCCCATGTTCTCTATTCCAAAAACGTCTACATTCTGGGAGCGAGAACATTTCCGTTTCCACGTGATAAAATGATACCCCGAAACATGCTACCATGCGAGTCGAGTGCGGTGCGGTGCGGCTCTAGAGGTGGGGGCGTCGAGTCAGACCTCCTTGCCTTCAGACTCTTCGAGTCCTGCACTCTGCTTTTTCTTAGGGGAGAGTCCTGCTCTCTGCTGTCTGCTCCACATCGGACTCAAAGATGGCGCCATCGACCCATCGTAGGCACGGACCGAAGTAACGGGAAAGGCTCCCAGCCCGGTGTTGTTTTTCTTTTTATTATTGATGAGGAATCCCAGGCCCCGCATAACCGCAACAAAAGGAATGCGGGGCGTGGCCCGATGGGGCCTATTAGGCCTTGGTCCAGCAAGAAAAAGAGGAAGGAGGTGCTCGCATTGGGATTAGAAGAGAACGGGCCGAGCCTAGTAAAACACGTTGCGGGCCAAAACTTGAGTTAGAGGTGAAAGTAATTAAAAACCCATTTCTCTTACCAGGGACAGTAGGATCCTGAATCCTTAAAATAAATTCTGAAAAGTTCGTTTTCTATGCACACAAAATTGGGTAAACGGAATAAATAAACATACAAAAAATTATTATGCAGCTGCATGAACGTGACAAACATGTTATTAACTTATGGTTCATTCTTGTTGTTTTATAGAAAACTAAATTTCACCTCTCAACTAGATATGAAGGTTGCTAAATAAATTAAAAGCAATTTGATTAAACTGCAACCAGCAAGAGGAGCGGCCGAGTTGGTGTGCGTCTTTGCGGATCTGGGAAAGGTGGGGTGCGGTTCCAGCAAGGGGAGCCGCAAATCTGGCGAGTGGGATGGTGGAACCAGCGTAGGGGTGGCGGAAACTGGTGGTGTGGTCCTGCTCTGGCAGCGCGCTCTTCACGGGTGGTGCGCTCCTCCCCCAGTGGCACGCGGGAGATGAGAGTGGCGGACTCTGATCTGAGAAATGAGGTTTTCTTTGGTAGTGTTCGTCTTTGTTCTTTGTTGTGTTGTTCGATGTTCAGATCCCTATCTCCGACGGTCTAACCTTCTCTCTCTCCTCTTGAGCATAAGACGGTGGATGAGGAGGTGCTGCAGCGACTATGCACAGCGAGAGGTGCACGGCGGAGGACATTGTCGGCAGCTAGTCGTCCACGACGGGCGGCGTGCTGGCGCCCTAGCGTCAATGGGGATGGACGCCTCCTGTGCTGGAGGCACAAACGACGGCGAGGGTCCCCTGTGGTCTCCTCTGCATAAACGACCTCCACAAATGTATTTCACGATGAATCTAATAATACTTATTTAGTATGACATATATTAATTTCTTTTTATGTAAATCGGGTCAAATTTCTGTTTCTAGGATGGGACAAGGAACTTAAGCAGGTCAACGAGGAACAAAGCATCTCCTAACACATTTTTCACTCTTCCAACACATTAACAGAATGTACTCCATGATTTCATAGCACTGTTAGTTTCAAGTCAGTTTGAGTTACTTGCTTTGACTCCTTGGTATGAAGATCTTTTCAACTTTCAAGGGCTGCAACTGATTTTATTATGACTGCCATACTACATCTACAAGCGCAACTCAACTTGAAACCACATTCTGACATACTTCTCAGATCAAGAAACGAAAAGATGGTCACACATCTCAACCTCTTGATCACACAGAGGACAAGTGCAAGTAATTTCAAGACCATGTCTTTGCCTCCTGTCCATGGTCCAATGCTGATGATTAAAATCGAGCCATAGGGAGAACTTGACTTTGAGCGGCATCCATCCTTCCAAATGAGTCGATGACTGTGAAGAGTAGGTGTACCAGAGTGTAGCTGTCAGAACGAACCATGAGTGAATTTGACTGTGAAGAGTAGGTGCGCCAAGAGTGCGAATACATGCTGTGTGAATTTGACCGCGAAGCCATGAGTGGTGGATTGGAATTTGACCGTGAAGTCATGTGTGGTGGATTGGAATTTGACCGTGAAGTCATGGGTGCGCCACTGTGTAGTCGATGACTGTGAAGAATAATGAATAAAAGCTACAAACAGAACCTTAAAGAAGCATGAGTGCTGGCTTGGAATTTTTTCATGGTCTTTTTTTTTTTCTTGGAATTTGACGTACTGTTATCTCTGCTCTTAATAATATTTTATCCTTTATCTGCTTCAGGCTTTCTTATGAAGACCTTAGAATTGAGTTTGAATTTGAGCTAAATCACCATTCAAGAAGGTTGTTACAATAATATAAACCCATATTCCCTGTTAAGTGTTAACTGGCATTTGAACTGCTTTGCTGTGCCTAGCAGTCAGGACATGTAAACAGTCTCACCAGTCCACATCATGATAATAGTCCCTCCGATTAAACCTGATGACTACTCCATTGCCTGCAAATTGTTTTTCTTAGATAATGGATATAAGTTCTGGCTTCAGTCTATCGTCATGGAAACAATGGAGTTTCTTTCGGTTCTCTTCTTTTCAACATGAGTGTCATGCTTGTGCATAGTGCCATAGACCAACTAGTTGATTGGTCAGTTTTCAGTCGGCATGTTCGCTGGTTGGTTTCTAGGCTGATAAGCCTGGCTGTTGCTGGTTTGTTGTGAGAAGAAAACACTGTTGGCTAGCTGATAAGCCCTGGCTGGAACCAACAAGCGAACAGGCTGAGTATGTCCTCATCCAAGTTGAATATTGGAGACCACTAAATGCAACTTGGATGTTTCCACATTGTAGTTGACTGGAATAAATATCTTCTGATCATATCCAAGTGCAGAAATTCAGTAGCCAATATACCTGAATATATCTGGAGACATTTTCCTTGTGTATCTATGACTTAGTCTAGTCATATATTGGACTTGGTCACATGTTACTTCCTCTATATTTAGGTCTACCCTCCCCCCTCTATCTGAAACTGCATAACACATATTAGTTCAAATCAGCTGCATGCATACAGCAGCCCCAAGATCAGGTTAATCATCCACAGATGCAACTATAATGCACATGCAGTTTCCTCTTCTATTCACAAGCTTATACTGCTACTCTTTTTCTTGTGCAGGAGCAGGGGCAGGACACAGTTTTTGCAGAGCTGGTAACGATGTCAGAAGCGATCAGTTCCGCTGTCGTTGGGGAAGCAGTTAGCAGGATCTTCTCTGCTATCATCAGCAAACATGAGGATGGCTCAGGTGAAGAGAGTGAGTTAGAGAGGTTGGAGATGGCGCACATCAAAATGGAGGCAGCAATTGACACATCCAACAAGTGGCAGATCACTGACGTGCCGCTGTTGCGTTGGAGAAAGAAGCTGAAGCGTGCTGCTCAAGAGTGCGAAGACATGCTGCGTGGATGCAAGCAACGTGCTCTTGAAGACGAAGAGACCAAAAAGCAGGTCAGGGAATACTCGTTTCCTAGACGCGTTGCTCATGCGACCAAATCACTGGTCTCCTCTTTCATCAATCACAACAGTGATGAATGCTCAAGCAAGGCCATGGTGCAAAGATTCGAGAGGCTTGCAGAGGGTGCTGATGATTTCTTGAGATATGTGCAGCTTGGCGGAACACCAAAGCAATATATGTTCTTCGATCCTCTCATTAGAAACCTTTTCGCAGGCAAATTTGTAGAGTACAAAACGATGCACCATGGAAGCCAATACCATTACATCGCCATACGGCCCATGAGCTTCGAGGAGCGTGGACTAGAGGCCATGCTATCATTCATCTATGAAGACTGCAAGGTGCCTCACAACAGCTTTCGCCTAGGGTTTATGCTGCGTCTTTCTGAGAGTACCGACATCATTGGGATTGCAATCAAGTGTCTGCATCTGGTGACGCCTCACTTCAAATCTACTGCTGAGAAGCAGCTTACTCAGCTCCCTACACAGGATTTCTCTTGGTCATCTCAATGCAATACAACACATGTCAGGAATGCTCACTGGAATAGTGTTCACAACACTTTGACCCGGTGGTTCCGCCCAGATCCTTTGTGCTGCAAAGGATATGATTATGAACACAAGTTGCCTGCTTGTAGCAGCACTGCAGATGCATCATCGACTCTATCGAACATATTTCCAGAACCTGTCTGTGAAGTGTTTTTGCAGCGTCACATCTCAGTATCCGAGTACAACAACCTGCAGGGATCATCCACGAGCTGCAGTAGTTCATCTTCTCAAGAGGATGCACAAGCACAGCCGCCTCTGAAGCTGGGAGTTCTCTTCATCCCACATGATGGCGTCGTCGATGACCTTACCAGTACTACTGGAGTTGAGATTCAGAGCTCTGCAACAGAAGCAATTGATGGGGAGAAACAGCCTCGCACACTTGTCAATGTCCATCCACACCAACTTGACGAGATGCTGATACCAAAGGCAATAGACTATCTTTACAATAATTCTGGGGCGACCATATGTCAGATATCTTGGAGGTCTAGACACGGCAGTGCAAACCTTTGTGTAGAGAAAACAACAAAGCAGATGACTAGGACTCGCAGGGTCACGCGAACAGCAGGTAGAAACAAGCCAAAACACGGTTTCGGCTGATTTGTTGTGAGAGAAAAACACTATTTCGACTGAAAAAAAAAACTGAAAAATAGGGATTATAAGAGAAGCGAACAAGGCCAAGAGCAGCAGAGGCTTCAACTGGAAGACCAGATAAAGAAAGAGCAGTGGAAGCAGGTCACAGCAGATTTTTTGAAACTTATGGCTGTGCGTAAGTCGGACAGCTTGCAAGGCTCTATTACCAAATGGCTCGGCAGGTGGTAGTCTGTTCTAGAGATTTTGCTCAATAAATAAACATAATTCAGGTCTCCCTGGATTTTCTCTATCTGCCCACTGTATCCTGTAAAATTCCTGTGTTACAGAAACCTTTTGGGATTGTATCTGGTATATATATCTGATTCTACTTGCATGTATTATGGTTATGTTGTACATTTGTAGTTTTTACTAACAGATAGTGCAACAGTTTGCTCATTTAGAGAGGTGGAGAGAGTTGACTAATTTGCATCCTTGGAAAATTCAGGTTTCAAAGGAGATGTGTATTTTCCTAGCTGCATGGGCGAGAAAGAAAATAGATAAAATCAGACGGTCCTTCTGGAAACGAGACGAAAACGCAAGCGGCGGCCACTGTCAGCTTTTGAGGCCAAAAGAGCTAGGCGGCTTAGGGGTGCTCGACCTGGAGAGATTTGGAAGAGCTCTGCATCTTCATTGGCTTTGGCAAGAATGGACGGATGACTCCAAACCGTGGGTGGGTTCGGAGCTCCCTTGCAACGAGGGCGATAGAGTACTCTTCAATGCATCCACCACAGTTACAATCAGTGGCGGCCAAAAAGCCCGCTTCTGGCACACAGCTAGTTCGAGGGGAGCCCCCGATATTTGGCGCCTAACTTGTTCCGTCAGAAGAAAAAACAGAACGGTCCGGCAAGAACTTCAAAACAACACCTAGATACGCGCCCTCATGGGTAAGATCACCACTGCTACCCACATCGAAGAGTTCGTCTCTCTTTGGCTCAAAATCCAAAATGTCCAGCTATTCCCGGGTGTCAGTGACTCAATCATCTGGAAATGGACGGCAGACGGCTGCTACTCCACCCGTTCAACGTACTGAATCCAGTTCAGCAGCTCCTATGGAACATTCCACAGCAAACACATTTGGAAAGCCCACGTGGAGAACAAATGCAAAGTATTTGCTTGGATACTCGTTAAAGAAAAGATCCTAACAGTGGACAATTTGCAAAAACGTGGATGGCCTCACTAGAAGCTCTGCGTGCTGTGCGATGGACCTCTAGAAACCGGCCTGCATCTATCCCTCTTATGCCCTTTTGCTAAGGTGGTCCGGACACAAGTGTTGTCATGGGAACATTTCGATGCACAATAGATCCACTCCCAGTCAACCCCTACACACATTGCCACATGGTGGAGGCGGCTGCATGCAAGGTGACCAGAGACAAAAAAAAAACGCTTCAACGGAATGGTCATCTACACCTTATGAAACATATGGTAGGAGAGAAACAGACAAATCTTCAACAGTGCTACAGAGTCAGCGATACAGGTTGCTTCTAGAGTTGGGAAGACATCTGGCAATATAAATGGGCCAAACAGGGGAGGTTAGAGCTTAAAGGGAGTGTATTAACTTCTTGGCCTGCTGTGTCACCCAGGAGGGCAAATTACCTCTTTGTACATAAACTTAAAGTTTTTGCTTCCCTAACTTAATTAAAGGGCAGAGCTCCTGCCATTACGTTAAAAAAATTTTGTTTAACAATTCAGCTGTGTGGTTTTCATGCAAAAGCAGAGTTGGCTGTAGAACTATATACTGGTTGGCTGATATCCAATTCGTTGTAAGGAATGTGATTTGTTTGCTTTAGTTCACTATATGTATGCAGCATTGCCTGCTTCATTCAGAACTTTCCATTACAACATAGATACATATTAAATCAGTTGTTGACAATTCTTGGAATAACGATCATGATAAAAAAAATGATTTGTGAAGAACAAGCTATGAACAGGTTTTTCCAAAACCGCAATTCACGAGAAACTGACGGACAAACGTCTAACATGCCAGATGTTGAATACGGTTTTTTGCAATCGAAGATGACGAGGAAGCAGTTACTTTTTTTTTTAGATAATGAAAGATTATTCTGACTTCAGACCTTTTAGAAAAGGTATCAGACCATAAGTATTACGGATTTTTTTTTCATTTTTAATTATCTTTTATTTCAAAAATGGCCTCACTTATTTTTTTTTTACTTTATTTTTAACCCCTTTGGTCATGTCAACGCGTCTTGTGCGACAAAATCACGCTGTCGCGCTTGCTCTAACACGTTGGACGGTGATTTCCACATGGAAAACATTATCACGCTATTCAACGTAGCAAAATCACGCTGTCGCGCTTGCTCTAACACGTTGGACGGTGATTTCCACATGGAAAACATTATCACGCTATTCAACGTAGCAAATCTTACCGTGCCAATGCATGTGACACGACCGTGTGATTTTATCGCGTCGGGCGCATTGACGCTACCAGAAAGATTAGAAAAAAAAATTAAAATAAGTTGAGCTATTTTTAAAATAGAAATTGAAAAGGATTAAAAATGGAAAGAAATCTATATTACACACACCGCCAGAGTTTGACTATTTCCAAGAGTTTAATACTAGACAAACAAGGCAGCCGCAAAGTTGCAGGAAAACACAGAAGAACAGGCAACCTAAGAGAGCAAAGGGTGACCGTAAGCAAACTTGGTTTCAGATGGTTGGACCTGAAGCCCATCGAGCACATGCACATATCGTCCGGGGGCCCATAAACTTTGGGACGAAGTCGAAGGCCCCCGCGTCGTTCTTCTGAGGGGCTGTGGACACGGGCAGCGTCGACTCCTCCGCTGCCGGGCCTCTCCCTCCCTTTAAATGCCACCGACACTGGTTGCAGAATGTGGAGTGACATGTGTCTGTAGATCCATGTGAATCTGATATATCGATCCACCGTTTAGTAGTATGAAGTCAATGTTTGATAGCTTCACTATCACCATATAGTAACATTTTATAGGAGAATTTAAGAGCAATTGGCCGGAGAGCCGACTAGCAAGAGGGAAGTTGAAAGTGGTAGAGTTAAGGAACACAACTGCAAAAAGCTGAGTACTCTGTACCGGCGGCACCTTCATCTTTTGTTGGACCAGTAGTATCCAACTCTGTTTTTTTTTATTATCATCTTTTTAATCATAATAAATCAGACATATAGATAGATAGATGGAATTCAGTAGCTGATGATGTTTCCAAGCAGCTGAGGATCGGAGGCTGTGCTGACCGAAGTCAGCTGCCTTGACTCCATTTGGAATGCAAGCGAGGGAGTAACTATTCTCTTTGGATTACTGCGAAAATGGTGGGTTCCTATCCTAACGTTTTGGACCGGTGGAAATTAATTGGGTTAGCTAGCTTTGGTTGTGGATGGTTGATGGGGGTACAACACAAAGGACGTACTGGGCGGGCTCTCCCATTCCCATGCGTGTGTGCTGGATCAGATCAGATCCATTCGCGTTCCCATCCTATTGACCCGACCAGCGACCATGGTTTTCATTTTTGGAAATAAAAATTTATCGGAGATCACAGATAAAGAGGATAAACAGGATATATCGGACCAAATTCAAATAAAATTTAATTTGAATTTAAATAAATTTAAAGAAAATTTGTAAAAAAAGATATATATTTTCTTATCGACACCTACGGATAAAAAGGATATATCGAAAATATCAGAAAATTTTAGCAGATATTGGAAACCATGCCGGCGACAAGTGGCATGCATGAAACTGCATGGTCCTCCTCCGGCGACAAGCAAATTAAAGGGGAGGACCTACTACTATTATGTGATATCGCTATCCTCCGGCAGCGGAGGACAGAGAATTAATTAATCCATCATGTGTACACACTGACGACGCCAGTGCGCCACTATGCGAATTAATGAATCGAGGAAAGGGACATGTAACAGAAGAGATGGCGACGGCGGCTTAAACCTAGGCTACGGCTTAAGAACATCTGCTGCGACTGTGGTTCGACAGCAAATTGCTCAGTGATGGCTGTTCCTGATCTGCAGCCCGCGGCGGCCTGGATTCTTCTGGAATTCGGCCGGGATGGAGTCGATCGAAATCAATGCAGGGACCAACTGGCCACCACCAACAGGGCTGCACTGCACCTGCTTCTTGCTTGCAAGGCAAATGCATCTGGATCGGAGTGTCGTGGCCCTGCGACAAGCAAGCAATACTTGAAAGAACATGAACAATGGTACGAATGGACGGATGGTGTTGGATTGGGACCCTAGGCCGGTACATACAGAGTGCCGAAGCACTTTGCATGTCTACATGCTAGGGATCACTAACTTAGTCATAGGATTATAGGTAGGAGTCAATGGCGGAGAACTAGTTTATGTACGGTGAGTACCAAATATAGTCTAACATCCCCCGTGGTCACAGCGGGAGCGTTGCAGACGGTGAGACTGAAGAAGAAATCAAGAACAACCTCTCATAGTCACAACTTGGCACAGTGTAGACGCTGGGACTGGAGAGAAAACCGGTAAGGACTCATGCAGATGATAGCCCTTGGTGCCGATGTTGAGGTAGCCGAGCTGAAGGGCGCAATTGCTGTGTTCGAAGAAGCCGTGCTGAAGGTAGCCGAGGTCGACGTAGTTGTTCTCGGGTTGTCGTGTCGATGGAGCTGCACGCGCACAAGAGGCACCAGAATGATGACGGACACGCGTGGAGGCAGTCGTCATGGGAGGAGGCGATGCCGAAGTCGACGCAGTCAAGGCCATCGTAGACGTAGAAGAAAGGCGACGACGCAATCGAGGCAGACGGGGTGGGAACAGGAGGGTCGATGCCGAAGTCGATGCAGTCAAGCCGCCTGAGCCGAGGCGTGGCTGGGTTTGCCAGACCCAGCAACACGTCAGGGACGAATGCATGCACCGGTGTTGCCAATACCGGACGTACAAGGTAGAGGGCCCTAACCATGCATTAGCGTCTGAGGGACCAGCAGAGAAGGTCTCGACGACGGTTGCGCCGCGCGGAGCAATGGGGTAGAAGGCGTAGCATGCGGTTGTCAAAGCAGACGAAGTAGGTGGGAACGAGATGGCGACGCTGATGACGTGGTTGTGCTGGAACTGGCATGGTTTTCTTTATCGGCCGAAATCTCCTGATATTTCCGATATATCCTTTTTATTCGTAGGTGCCCATAAGAAAATATCTATCTTTTTCGTACAAATTTTGTTTAAATTTATTTAAATTTACTTAAATTCAAATCAAATTTTATTTGAATTTGGTCCGATGTTTCCGATATATCCTGTTTATCCTCTTTATCTATGACCCCGATAAATTTTAATTTCCGAAAATGAAAACCTTGGAAACTGGTGCATCGGCGAGTTGGCTCAGCGGCGATTCGAGGGGCGGCCGACGAGCAGGGCTCAGCGACGGCGTGGGTAGCGGCAGCTCGATGACGAAGACCCGATCAGCAGGACGACGACCTTGTGCAGACGCATGGCGTGGCAAAGATTGCACAGCACAGTCGTCGATGCACAGAGGACGGCGATGTAGATGCAACGGCGAAGTTGACACGGGCGGCGGTGCTGTGGCCTGACGAGGCGACACAGCAGCAAGCCAGCAGTCCTGTTGCTCGGAGAAGATGCGCGTAGAACTCGGAGATGGACGTCACAGGAGCCCGTGGATCGCGCATAATCAGTTCTACGGACCGAGTACGTGCGAGGTGCAGCGACGATCGAAGAAGTCGGCGGAGGCATCTCGATCTGTGGTGGTGATAACGAACCGATGATGTAGACGTGTAGGCTGAATGACAGAGAAGCGACGCAGGAATGCGTCCCTTCGGCATCGCAAGCCTTAGCCAAGCCGCACAGTCGATGTAGATGACGGTAAAGTTAATGCCGATGCCCAAGTAGTACGCGCGCAAGGTCGAAATGCGGTGGGCGACTCAATCCCTATCGGTGATCGGGCAAACAAAAAAAAGAATACAACAACAGCAGTGGGAGCTCAGGCGAGCTCGCGGCTGAGGCTGGAGAGCACGTCGCATGCGAACGGTCGGTGGGCGAGCTGCGGGGTCACGTGGACAGGCTCCGGTCGCGTGGGTGTGAGCGCACGGGATCAGACTAGGCAATCGAGTCGGAGTGAGCGGATGGGAGAGGACGAGCGGCAGGAAAAGAATATATGGTGAATACCAAATATAGGCCGTGTTTGGTTCGATGCTACGTCGAACCTTAGACGGCGCCACAGAAAAAGTAACATGTTTGATTGGTCAAATAACTGTGACGGCCGACGGCCACATCTTTTCGTAGTTGATTTTGAGTGTGACAGCCAAATAGGCGGTGCCGGTGGCGTGCTCTGACTCGCATACAAACACGCCCATAATGCCATACCATACGTTAACAACAACTGTATTCGGCAGAGCTCCATGTGTATAGGACGATTGATTGATTGATGATGGTCCACGCATATATGCATGTACCGTGTTCTATGGCAGTATTTAATCTTAATTTAATTGTTTATCCCTCTTCACTTCTTATAATACTCTTTTCATCTATAAAAGGATGTAATTCTTATTTTTTTAAGGAATCAAATCATTTAAAGTCTGACTGACATTATAAAAAAATATTAAGAGAGCAGTCTCAGTGTTAGAAAACTCAACAAGTTTCTAAATCTCTTAAATCATGGAGGCACTATACATAAAAACCATATTTTTAATGGTTAGCTTCTTTAAAATTATTTTTTGTCCAGTCACGTCTTATCCCTCCATTAGTATCTATCTATCTAGTATCTATTACATCCATTTGTATCTTGATTCTCGTATAGATATAGTTTCTTATCTAAGAAATCATTTTCTCATCTCTCTTTGTTAATTTCAATACCACATCATCATTTTTTTAATTGAGCCCTTAATTAATGAACATAGAAACCACGACCAACCCTAGTTTCTAAGTTGGGAATGCCATAACATTTATAATACAAAATAAAAATCATTAAATTAGTTATGAAATCTATTTTCTTAGTAGTTCACAGATAAAAATGTTAATATTGCTTACCATAAACTTGATCAAAATTAAACTAGCTTACTTACACAAATCTGATAGTACTATAAAAGATCAGTGGTACTCTTTATTTCATTTTCTTTCGGTCTCGGCACCAACAGAAAATGAGAAACGAATCAAAGAAACTGAAAAGGCCACTCAAGCGAAATATGGAAAGGAATTTAAAACATCATTGTACTGGTACGAAGGAAAGAAAGCACATAGCTTCACAAGCGAGCATCCCTTTGATGGATGCATGAAGGCCTAGCTCTTTACTTTTAAGAAAGACTACTTGAAAGCAGCCTTCTCCAATTTAGCCTCACTCTCTCGATGTGCTAATTCCAATTCCTCTTTAATTAATTTGCTGCAGTTAGTTGACATCGTGGTGAAGTGACAGGACTGCAGAGTCACCCACAACGTACACCGGTTCGTCAGTAAAATCAGCAAATTAAACAAATCTACGGTGCAAGGGTTATTCCGACTTGCCAATCAAAACCCAACCCATCGTGTATATAGCAGTTAAAAAGAAGAACAGAGCAGCACTACACTGGTTTGTTCCATCCCTTGCTATGTTGAGCTTACCTTTAGCAGTTAAGAAGAATAACAGAGCTATGCTTTTCCGACTGTCAATCAAGACCCCAACCCATCATGCCGTACGTGGAAGAAGAACAGAGCAGCACTGCACTGTAACACTGGTTTGTTTCAGTTTTGCGTCCCTTCCTATATTTATTAGGCTAATCTAATCACAGCTTTGGTTATTTTAGTTAAGCATAAGAAGAATCCTGAACACTCGCTAGTCCCAGTTGCATAGTTACAGCTGACGGACAAACAAGAACCACAAAATCGAGCAAGCTGACCAATCCGTAGTCCATACATACTACATACATGGCGATTGGTGATGGAGATGCAGCGGATAGATCCGACATGGAGGAGGACGAGGAATCACCAACGATTTCCGTAGCTAGCTCCAGCTACGAGTCACAGGAGCCTCTGCCGGTGCGGCGAGGGCTGGAGCCTGTTGACGAGCGCGAGCGCGTTGCTGGTGGCCTGCGCGACGGCCACCACCCTCCTCTTCACCCTGACGGCGTCGTCGCTGTCCTTGCCACCGCCGCGGGCCTGGTGCTGCGCGAGGGAGTCGAGGCAGGTGGAGGTGTCGGTGAGCGCGGCGCTGGCCCAGGTCTGGACGTTGCTGAGGGACCAGGCGAAGCGCGGCGTGCCGGCGCGGCCCATCCGCTCCATCTCCGCCGCGGACTGCCGCAGCCGGTCCTCCGCGTCGCGCGCCAGCTCCGCGCAGTCCTTCATCGCCCCGCCGCTGCCGCTGTCGGCGCCGTGGATGTAGGCGGAGCAGTTGCGCGCGCGGTCGGCGCCCACCGCCAGCGCCGCCCGCGCCAGCCGCCGCGGGCTGCGCCCCACGCCCGCCGCGCAGGGCACCAGCGTGCTCTCGCACACGCGTGGGTACTCCGTCGACCGGCACGACCGCCGCACGAAGTCCACCGCCACGCCCGGGGACACCGCCGCGGCGGAATCCGTCGACGCGGAGGCGGCGACGACGAGGAGGACCACGAGGCATGCGAGCAGGATAAGGTGGCGGCGGCGCGGGAGCCTCATCTCTCTGCTGTGCTGTGCTTTCCCTGTCTCCCTGTCTGAGCTTACTACTTGTTGGTTGGTTGCTTTTTACGCCTACTTTTATGCCTTGTTTCTAAAAGTTTTTCTAAAAAATGCTACAGTAATTATTACGTCAAATCTTGTGATACGTGCGTGGAGCATTAAATATAAACGAAAAAAAACTAATTGCATAATTTGGTGGAAAATTACGAGATAAATATTTTGAGCCTAATTAATCCATAATTAAACACTAATTGTTAAATAAAAACGAAAGTGCTACCGTGATCAAAATTTTAAAGTTTAGCCAACTAAATAAGGCCTTACCTATAGGTTATGAACCAAACGAACATGCCATTAATTTCTTGGCGTGTGCTGGTGCTGCCTGGGTAAGTGCCTGCTGCCAACCCCACCGTTAGTCCGTCGTAATGGAAACGCCACGCACCGACGACCTCGAGGAACCGGAAGCGATGGAATTTGACTACCTCTCTCTTTTTTCACTACCAGCCAGGTTCTGGGACCCACAAATTCCGTAGACAACCCTTTCTTAACGAAAACGGAACGACTACCGCGGCTGCTCTGGCCTGTTTGATGCATGGGTTAGAGTTAGTTGGAGCTATTTTGGCTCAAATAGCTTTAAAGTATCAAATATGAAGGTTAGATTGGGGTTATTTGCATCTAACCCATCCAAAAAACTACCCAGCACAAGAGATGTTTATTGAGGCTATTTGAGGTGGAGCCCACTAGAAAAGTGTTTTTTCTCCCACACGGGATCTCGCTCCTGTTCCCCACCACACTCGTCTCCCTCCCATTCCCCACCCGCACTTGGTCTCCCTCTCGTTCCCAGACGCTTTCCACCATGATCTCGCCACCATCGCTGCGTCAGCCGCCTCCGGCATCCATGTTGCCGCCAATCCCCCAGCCACACCCCGCCGCCTCCCATTGATGGACGGAGATGGCTTGACGTGGGCGTGGGGCTCATGGCCGTCGCGGCAGCGGCCACAGCCACGCCTCCCGCTAGCCTCGCGGATCTCGACCTCAACTCATAGCCTTGGCCGGGTGGAGGTGTTCCCGGGGCTTGGGCTCTACGGAGCCATCCTCCAGGGCAACGTCGACGAGCTCCTCCCTAGCCGCGTCAGGGGCTCCGGCCTCCCTCCCTATCGCCCACCGCGAGCCGAAGCAGGAGATGCGTGGGCGACTCCGGCCTCACCCTACGCCCGGCAACTCCACTTTGGCGGGTCGGCGGCGGCGGCAGCCGGTCGCGGAGGAGGAAACGGTGGCATATTCTCCGGCGGGTTGTCGTCGGGGGCAGGCGGCATTTGTCAGCGCGCGAAATCGTCCGGCGCTATACCCGGCCGACAGCGCACCAACACGGCGTTACGTGGCGGCGGCGCCCAGCACACGAACACGGCGATCCGTGGCGGCAGCGGCCAGCGCGTACCACGTCCCCAAGCACCGAGGGCACCATGGAGTGCCGTCCGTGGGCAAGCATCCTGCTCCGGCGCTACCTTCGACATCGATGAAGAATTGGAGGATGATGTGGAGGAGTTAGCGAGCTCCGGCGGTCCCTCGGTGAGCCATGCCAATCGAGCCCAATGGAATGATGCAAATAATGCTTGCTTGTTAGAATTGTGCATAGAGCAACGTAGAGCGATCTTTTGGAGTGTTGAAGATGAAATTTAGGATTTTGTTGAACATGCCAAGATTTCCAGAGGACAAGCAAACTAGAATTATTGTTGCTTGTATGGCTCTTCATAATTTTATTCGAGAGAGCAGAATTGCGGATAGGGAATTTGATGCCTGTGATGCGGATGAAAATTATAACCCAATGCCTAGTTCTTCTGCATCAGCATGGCCAGAGGATGAACCTTTTGTTGAAGATATCAACATGAATGCCTTCCGTGATGAGTTAGCTGATACTTTGTTTAATGGAGTGTAATTTTTTTTAGCTTGATTGAGGACATGTTTGAGTGAGACATCTCATTTGTATGGACAAATTAAATTTTATCGTGTTATGGATGCATGATTTGTAAAGATGATTTGTTTGTGTCATTTATGAGTGGGAGGAGGGCACACAACAGCCGGCCACACCAAATCCGGCTGCGAAGGAGCCAAATGATTGGGAAAGTACATTTATTGTCAATCTAACCCTTGCATTCAAATGCCTCTTTGGCTAGAGTTAGTTTAGGGCTACTCATGAGCTAGAGAGTAACTCTAACCTCTAACTTAGTTAGAGTATCCAAATAGGGATGAAAGGACCAAGATGCCCAAGAGGGGGGGGGGTGAATTGGGCTAATTCTAAATTTCTTCGCAATAAACAAGTCATATGGTTAGCCCAATTAACCCCTTGTGCCTAGAGAAGTGTTCCTATTGATCTAACGCACAAAAGTTTAGCAACCTAGTTCCAATCCTACTCTAGCATGGCAATTCTAGGAATGTAAATGGCAAGAATTGAAATGCTCAAAGTAAATGCTCAAAGTAAAGAGAGGAGAGGAAACACGGCGATGTTTTGCCGAGGTATCGAAGAGTCGCCACTCCCCACTAGTCCTCGTTGGAGCTCCCGCGCAAGGGTGTAGCTCCCCCTTGATCCGTGCAAGGATCAAATTCTCTCTGAGTTGATTTTTCGACACTCTGTCGCGGTGAATCACCCACAACCGCTCACAACTTGAGTTGGGTCATCCACAAGCTCTCCGGATGATCACCAAGCTCCCAATCACCACCAAGCCGTCTAGGTGATGGCGATCACCAAGAGTAACAAGCACGAACTCTCACTTGACCACAACAAGCCGAGGGAGAAGGGTGGATGCACACTTTGCTACTCTTGATCTTCACTAATGAGGGTTCTCTTTGGATTCTCAAATCTCAATCACCTTACTAGGACCTTGCTCTTCTTGGCACACTCTAAGGTGAGTTTCAGCTATTGAAATGAGCAAAAGTCACTCCACACACGAGTGGAGCTTCTATTTATAAGACAGCCTAAAAAACGAACCGTTATGTGCCTCTGCGGGGTGACTAGACGCTCCGGTCAGTTCAACCCGCACACCAGTGTTTACGTGTTGACCGAACACTGGTAGGGTCCGGTCACCACTGACCGGACGCGTCCGGTCCCATTTTTCCCTCACTGGATGCTTACTGTACTCGACCGGACACTGGATCCTCAGGGTCCGGTCAGCATTGATCGGATGCGTCCGGTCGCAGATTCACTTTTCTAGAACCTTACTGGAGTCGACCGGACGCTGCCTCTCAGCGTCCGGTCACTTGACCACTCAGCGTCCGGTCGCACCAGACACAATCTCCTTGGTCCTGATCGGACCCTGCGGCCAGCGTCCGGTCGCACCGGAGCCAGCGTCCGGTCAGTATTTGACCCTCCATTCACTTCCAACTCTCGATCATACGTGAATGAAGTTTGCTCCTTTGGATCTTAGGCATCTATAGGAGCTACCTAGCGCTTGTTTTAATAAGTGTGCACCACACTTAACTCACTAGACTCATCTAGGTCAAGCTACCCGTCCATACCCCCCTTAATAGTACGGCCAAAGGAAAAACAAAGTCCTAAACTACTCTAAGTGTCTCTTCAACTCTAATCGACACTTAGAACTAGTCATCCTTAACCTTGTCGTCCATCCTTTGAAAACAAAAATGATTTCCATCGTAGGGGCATGACAACCATGATTCCCAATCGATCTCCATTACCGTGACCTAACTTAATTGCCTCTACAAAACACACGTTAGTCACAGTAATCTAACATTGTCATTAATCACCAAAACCCAATTAGGGGCCTAGATGCTTTCAATCTCCCATTTTTTGGTGATTGATGACAATACAACCTCGAGTATGTGAAAGAGTTGAGGTTTTTAACATGCTTGGATCATATAAGCTTTTAGCAATTAGAACAAAAGAATTAGTCAAGCTTATATAACCCAAGCCATCATGATGTACTCAAATGATATGAAATAAGCATGAGTACAATAAGAAAGGCTCATTTGCATCAGAGTAAAAACGCGGAAGCAAAGGCAAATGAGCATAGCACAAGTGACATGACATATAAATAATTCAAAGTAGAGAGCACACATGTCATATATCACGATCACGTAGATATCACTATCACATATATATAGTTCGATGCATGAAAACAAAACACACGATGAATGCATAATAGTGTATCACACATAAAAAACTCCAAATGTAGTATATAAGCTAATAATATAACTAAGCTCCCCCTAAAAGTCGCTCACCCTGAGTCTACATACTCGAACCCTCTCCCCCTTTGGCGTCAAACACCAAAACCTAAGGGCTGGTCGGTGGGGCTACAGCGGACGAGTCGGGCGCTAAAGTACGATGAGCAAGCTGGAACTAGGCGGCATCATCATCTGACCCTGAGCTCTGTGCTGACTAACCCTCTATAGCTGGAAGCGTCGCTGAAGCGGTCTGGGTCTGAGCTAGGGCAGGTGCTGCCTGTGATGCTGCTGGTATATCTGTCATAGGATCTAAAGATGCGATAGAAGAAGGAAGCCTCTGAGTAGTCACGGCGACGGGAGCTGCTGTAGAAGGACCTAGGGCATGCATATGTGGTGGTGTAGGCATCCCTGTCAGCTCGCTAAAAGATGCTCCAAGACTCCTAGAGACTGACGTGTCAGGCACAAATAGTGAGGATGATTGATCCGGTGTGAAGCCCGTCTGAAGTGGTGTGAACTGCGGAGCTACCACTGGCGAGGATAACCACTGGGACACCTATACTAGGGGAGAAGCAAACTGAGCTGGAGGCTGTCCCTGACTCTGAAGCCCACTGGGATGTACTGCTGGAGTCGTCGTAGTGGTGGCAGGCTGAGCAATCTGGGGTGAAGGCTATGGCTGTGGGGCCCCAAGAGCTGTCACTACATGCTGCATGAATCCCATAAGCTGCTGCTGCATGAGTAATTGCTGCTGATGCATCTGCTGCTGCTGCTGCTGGAGGACCTACTGCTGTCACTGAAACTCATCCTGACGAGCCTAAAACTAAGCAAAG